ATGAGGTTGAAGATGCTCTTGTGCACACCCCTGAAGGATTTACTTTAGAGAGATTGTTCTTGATGATTTGGGCTAAAATCACAAAGAATTGTTATTGATAATTTGTTTGATATGCTGTGCTTGGCCTCTTGGATTATCGGCTCCTCTGTACAATACTCATGAAAATGTATGGATTCAGATGGCTTTCCTCTCTTAATCTCTCTTCCTTTTGTCTTAAACAGGGCCTTACTTTACAGTACGTACTGTGTTCCTGCCCCTGACCAGCCTGTAAGCCTGTTGGTGATATCAGAAACATAACTTTCCTTAGACCTATTGACTCCAAGCCAGCTTCTTATCAAGACCTTGCTCACTGGGGACCTGCATCTTATGACACACCATTTAGGAGTGTTAAAATTTATTACCTGTAAAGTAATGACTACACCTCATAACACCTGTGTACGATTTATAAGTTGCACCGGAGCCAAATGTCATAAATCATCTGGTAATTTAAAGTGCTCTAATTCTGATGAATGTATTTCTACTTATGGTAACATTCAACTACCCCTAGGATGGTTTTTTACATGTAATGATCATAGCTTTAATTATGTTCCCTCCAATCTCTCTGATGTCCCCTGTTGTTTAAGCAGACTGGCTATGATGCTTTCTTCTCAAACTGATCTAACTCACCACCAAACACAAAGCTATTTATTAAACAAAGAAAGGGGAGATGTTGGAATAAGAAAGAGTTAATGTAGAGATGAGCTAAATAAGCTGCAGGGCATGTGGGAGAGGGAAAAAGAAAACAGGGCAGCAACAGAGTAACTGAGAACACTTGGAACTGGAGGACACCCTGCTGTTGTGTCCTTGCTCCCAGGCGCCTAGTAGGTTCTCACATATAGTAGAGCCTAAACGTTAATCTTGGACACATACAATGAGATCTTGTTATGTTCACCTAAAGTAGCCCAAAGGCTGAGACTCAAGATATATAAAAATAAAGACCAAGGACGGGATGAGAGCCTGTTTGCTTGAGCCCTCGCTTTGCTGACATTGAGTGTCCATGTGTCTTTGTTTGTGGCCAGTGCCCGTGAGTCTCTCCCCATATTCCACTGTCTATAAAGTCTCCCCACTGGCACTCTGAAGGGCACTCCTCCGGATGTGCTAGGCAAGGCCTGCAGCTCTCTTCTGAGAATCCACAGAACCACCACTGGCCAACCTTGCCTTTTGCCTCTTGGTATTCATGTCCTCCGTGACCCCCAGTGTGTGTTGGATTTAGTGATGTAACCCACCCTCCCTCTCCAAAATGTTCTCTGTGCTACACTTGTGAATCTCAGCGATTTCCTTAAGTCCAAAAATCTGTTAGAAGCAGCTGCTCTGCTGGGTGAGTTCCTTTCTGTTAACGCTGTATTCTGGTCTCTGTACCCAACATGTGCCTGGCTACCATCTGCCACGTGACCAGGGCCTGTCTATTTTCATTTCACTAAGGTCAAGGACGCATCAACCCTTAAAGGTGAGGCCACTGACCTTTGCTGTTATTGGAGACAACCTCTCAGCTACCGACTCCCTTCTAACAGAATACTGCAGAAGTGGTGGGATGTCGCTTCTGAGGTTAGGTTATTAAGAGCCTGTGGCTTCCATTCCAAACCACAGAGTGCCCTCCACCCTCCACTTAGGAGGCCTAATGCTGGCATCCCTTAAGTGAGGCTGCAGGCAGACAGTCCAGGCCATCTGGCATCGAGAGCCCACAGCCCCAGCCAACAGCTTGACTGAAATGTCGTGAGCGGCTCTGAGCCAGAGGTACTGGCTCAGCCGCACCCAGATTCCTAATCACAGAGACTAGGAGATATTAAATGTTTTTTGTTTTAAACTAGCAAGTTTGGGGCTAAGTTTTCATGCGTCACTAGATGATAAAGTTGTATGATGTCTTCTACAACCAATATGTGGCTGATTTACTGGTTGGTTACCTGGAACCTGTTTTGTGATGTGCGCCTTGTGTCTTTCCCTGCACTGTGTGTCCAGTGCTCCTGGTGACTGCTGGTGTCCTAAGAGGGAAGTGGTTGCCTAAGGTGGTGTGTAAACAGGTGGCTCACTAGCAAAGGGGGTGCCATACTCTACCAGAAACCAGTCTTGACATTAGCAAGGTCAGGTAGCAGGTGTCACCGGAGCATTGGCTCTGAGGTGGCATTTTGAGTTAGGCCTCTGCTCTGGCCTGACCCTTTGGTTCTCAGCTGAATTTTTGCCGGAGTCCTAATCTGCACCCATGCTACCCCCACCCTGCATGCTGCCAGCCAGCTGCACCAGGCCTCTCCACCCTACCATCTTTGTCTCTCCTGCTTTAGCATCATCCACAATTGTATTTCCCATAAATGCATCTGGTGGCCACCTGGAGCCCACAACCCAAAACGTGACCCTTGAGTATGACGCCCTTCTCCTAGGGTGGGCCAAAGGCTCACGCTTAACTGCAAAGGGCAAGGTCGCTAGCAGTGTCCACAGACAATGGGCAGCATGCAGAGGACACTTAGTATGCTAACTGGTAAATTTAGCTGGGCACCTTATGGACAGGGCTTCACGCTGCCTCCAGGGGGGTCAGCTCAACCAGAGGTGTGAGTCTAGGGCCGCTCCAGTTTGGAGCAGAGTCTAAGACCTTGGTTAGAATGTCTATTGTTGCATGTCCACACCCCAGGCTGAGTCAGGATTGTGAGTTCAAGGCCAGCCTAGAATGTATAGTGAAACTGTCTAAAAAATAAAATTAGAATTGGGGAGTTGGTGGGGCCAAGGGGCAGTTAGCATGAGGACATTAGGTCAGAGGCCCAGACCCTATAATGAAGTGCCGGTCCTGGGGTAATCCTGAAGCTTCTAGATTACCCAGGATCTCCAAACACTTCTCAGAAGTGGAATTTTGTGTTTTGTTTGATTTTTTTTTCCTGCATTTTGTGCAGGGTCTCACTACACAGCTCCCAGCTCAGACTCGTAGTGATTCTGTTTTCAGCCTCCCCAGCACTGAGATTACAGGTGTGCACCACCATGCCGGACTCACTCAGCATGCCTGGGGGCGAGGCTAGTGTGGCATTTGGTGTCAGGGATCAAACCCAGCCCCTGCGCTTGCCTAAGCAGGGACTTAGTCCACTGAGCTGTCTTGCCAGCCCTCAGATGTGGAATTTTGAAATCAAGTTCTCAGATGAAATACCGGAAGTAGCCACTATCTGGCAGATAAGCGATGCTGGGGTTGGGAGTGGAGGGTGCCAAGAAGGCTAGAGTCCTGCCCACGAGGGTCCCCCTATCCTTCCTGGGCCCCAGTCTTTCTCACTGTCCCTGCCCCAGCCAGCAGCTCCTCCCACCCCCTTCAAGATGAACTGATGGAGCCCTGAAACCTCTATGCGCATTGCCTGTCTAGACCCTGCACAAGCATCAAGGCCTGAATGGAGGGGTTTGGGCCTGGAGAGCAAAAAACTGGGTCCAGGTCCAGCTAACACAGCACTTCCTGTGTATGCGCTGAGAACCTGGGAAGCAGATGGTTTTACAGATTAACTCCACTTCACCAAGGGCAGCCAAGGGCTGCCCCCACTGTGCAGTTGAGAATAATGTTTATTGAGAATGGCTCATTACAAACAAAATATATTTATGTATAAAATCTATGCAATGCAAAAGACCCCGTTTCCCTCCCCCCCTTCCCCAGTTAGCGAGACCAGCGCTGCCTACTGTTGTCCTCTGTGGCTTCCCGGGCTGCGCTGCGTGCAGTGTGAGCACAGGCGGGGCAGTCGTGCACGCTGCATGCTGTGGACAAAGTCCTCAACGTCTGGGTTTTCTCCAACCCCACTTCTGTGACTTGTGCAAGAATACCATATGATTCTCATCCTCCCTGTGACCCTCCTCAGGCAGTTGGGTCTTGGGGACAGGCAGCATCTTGTTAAATCAAACGGAGAGGTGACCTCTGTTTAATTTGTAAGTTGTCCCCAAAGCCATCACCTGGGCTCAGGGACTAAGCACTTCTGAATGTCCTCTGTGGCTGAGCTGCCATGACCACTTTCTGTGCAGGCCACTCCTCCCCACAGCTGTCCCAGCACACAGGCTGTGACTTATTTATATCCAGACATCTCAAAAGTGTCACTTCCTCCTACTGGTTTCCTCTGTACATTTATTCTCACAATTTTACCTGAATTGCTCCTGGGGATGCCCATACCCCACAGCTGCCATACGTAGTACTCCTGGGCTTGGAGCCAGAGTTCCCTGGGACTTCAGGCATCCAGCACTAAGGCCATGGAGAGAAGACCAGACTGAAGCCAACACAGGTTTCCAAAGCCCAGGGGGGCTGCCTAGCTAACAGCACCTAGGCACAAGGCTGCATCTGGTATCGAGAAACAGTACGGCTGGGCAGTCTGAGAGCCCTTGTAAGCAAAACCCACCTCTGACCCTCTGAGCTACCATGATTGGGGGAGAGGGGCTGGCTGGCAGGTGGGGAAACAACTGCCACCTGGTCACACTTCAGGCTTTGGAAGACCAAGCCCCAGGAGTGAGAGGATGGAGGGGCTATCCGGGTACACCTGTCTCTGCCAAAGGTAACCTGAGAGGGGAAGTGTCCCTATCCCCTGTGGGAACAATCCACTTCCCTTATTTTTATTTATTTATTTTTTGGCGGAACTGGGGATTGAACTCAGGCCCTTGTGCTTGCCAGGCAAGTGCTTATTCTACTGAGCCATCTCCCCAGCCCCAAACTCTTTCCACTCTGGAAAGCAAGGGGTGTGGGATTCAGACCACCGGCCAGGCTCCTCCTCTTTGAGCAAGAACATGGGCTGGCTTATCTGCTATGTGAAAAGAGGAGTCAGTGGCTCCAAAGTGCCTGCAATCTCACCATTAGTCCCAAAGTGGAAACTTAAATCTCAATAAAACAAGCTGGGTGCGGCAGTGAACACCTGTAATCCCAGCACTTACAAGGTAGAGGCAGGAGGATCGCAAGTCTGAATTCTGTTTGGGAAACTTATCAAGACCCTGTTTCAAAATTTTCCAAAGGACTGGGGATGTTGCTCAGTGCGAAGGCCCTGGGCTTGATCTCCAGTACTGCAGAATAAACTTGTCTCCCCCCGCCCCCCCCAAAAAACCCCGCAATTTAGGAAGGAACTAGTTCCAGCTGATGCTACCTGGAGGTGCTGGGTGATCCCGAGGAGGCGCTGCTCCTCTCCATCAAGACAAGAGACTCAGTACCCTGTGCAAAAGGTCTTGGTGTGAAAACTAGGGTAGGAGGTGGCTGCCGGCTGCCCTTCTCCCACTGCATCAGTGCAGGCCCACCCTCAAGAGACCTGGGGCTCCCTACATTCAGAGGAGGCCTCCACTGTCGAGATTTAGGCTGGTGTCAGGAGGCCTTGGAGGGGGAGGGGGGCACTAGGACTGTGCAGATGTTTATTCCTGAAGCATGTTCCCTGATGCCAGTCACTGGGCATAGCAGCGAATGGAGAGTCCAGCCACTACCCCATCTATGGAAGTTCAGTACCTGGAAGGCCGTGAGGAGCCCTGGTGTCCCCAGGAGCCAGGGCACTGCAGAGCCCAGTGGCTCAGAGGTGTGTCTACACTGCACAGTCAGGACCAGAGGCCATGAAGCAAGTCCCCAAAATGTGCACCCATGAGGAGGAAGGAGGCAGTGGTGACGGCACTCACCACAGGGACAGTGGGCTCTGCAGTACTTCCAGGAGAGCAGGGCTTCGGTTCATCTGTACTCACTAAACACACAGATGCTGTCCTACACATGACATCAGGTCAAGTGACCACTCTCTCCAGGTTCCTGAGGTCTACGGGGGAAACTGACTCGGGTTTCTCCCCTCGCCTTGTTTCTCTGTAGGAAGCAGCAAGGGCACCCTTGGGCCTATACTTCCTCTGGGCCTGACTGGAATCAGGCTCGATGTCCTGTGGGAGGCTTCCCTCCGACGGTCTGAGGATGCCTGCAGCAACCAACAGGTGTTTGGGGTAAGCAGCATGATAACACAGCACTGGGAGGCAAAGCAGATGTGCCAGTTTCCCAGAATTCCACGGGACTTTGTCAGACAGGCTAAGGCTCCAAGTCCCAGCAGCCCCAGGCCTGGGTGTCCTGAATGGGCCTGGCATGGGTAGGGCGTAGGGTCCAGGGACCCAGTGTCAGCTATCCAGATAGACAAAGAGGATGTCCTCATCTGTGCCATAGCTGGTTCTGGCTTCCTCAAAATTACTGATACTGGTGCTGCACATTCCTGCGGGACAAGGAGAGAAAGGTGGGGTCAGTGATTGAAGACAGAGTCCTCTCCCCACTAGCACCCATGGGAGCTAATTGAGGTCTGTGTCCCACTCGCCTAGCCACTCCTCTAAGCTCAAACACTCTCCCTCCTGCAAGCTCTCCTTCCCTTTTCTGACCTTCACAAGCAATTTTCTCTAACCTCTTCCCAGTTTAGTTGGTAAAATAAGTGAGGCCCAGAGATAGGAAGAAATATACTCTGGGCCATGAGGACAGATGAAGGAAGTAGCCCTTCCCTGCACCCTGAGGGTAGTAGGCAGACTGGAGCTAGGGCCAGGTCTTGCCAGACTTTCTAATGACTGTGCTCTTGGTCCTGGGAGTGGTGGAGGTGGGACCTGGGCAGCAGTGTGTGTGTATGCGTGAGGGGGGAGCACAGGGGTGGTGGCTACAGATGGGCACTGCTGCGAGTTTGTGGCTGGTGTGCCTCCCTGGCCAGAGGGGGCAGTCCAGAGCACTGGAGCCCAGCAAGAGGAAGAGTGCTGGGGACAGGCAGAGATAGGTCGTGGCCACAACAGATTGAATGGGAGGAAGTTAGGGGGTAGAGTACAGAGGACACTAAATGCAGACTGACCCAGCCCACCCGGCTCTAGGCACTCACGGTCTGCGTAGGCTGGGTTGTTGTAAAAGATACAGCCAGTGGCCCTGTTGTAGCCGCGCAGCACAATGAAGTGGCCTTGGTAGTCTGGGGTGCGACAGAAGCAGCGGTGGCCACTGGGGGCGAAGCAGCAGTACTTGACGGGGCTGGAGCACAGGTCGCAGTGCAGCACCCCGGAGTTCACCAGCACGATGGCTACGTGGCCCTGAGCCAGGTGCTCTTGGATGTCCTGTATGCTCACTGTGCTGTGGGTAGGAAGGCTCAGCTAGTGGGCAGGTCTGGTTGCCACCCCTGTTCCTGTGACATAACTGAGGAGCTTGGCTCGTCTTCCCTCTGCCCTGAGCTCCTTGTATATACCTAGAAAAGTCCTTGCTTGTCACTTTGGCCCAGGGTCAGCCCAGGGCCAACTACAGGACCCACACAGGGGTGGGGTGAGAGAGAGATGGTGTCTCAGGGAGCACAGAGTCAGCGGGGCTTCTCAGGAAGGGCGCAGAGGCGGTCAGCTTCAGACAGGTCCAGTCCAGGACCACTGAGCAGCAATGGAACTCCACGCCTCGCCTGGAGGGTGGCGTTCTGAGCCAAGCTCTCACTTCCTCTTTACCTCAAATCCTACATGGTTTACCTTGGGATCTGCCAGCCGAATTTCCTCCCTCAAATCTGAGCCAAGCTTGGCTCAGCCAGATTCCAAACCAAATGATTTTCTCCAAGGGCCATTTTTCTAAGGTTCCCTGTACAGAAGATATCGCTGCGACTCTGCCAGTCAGCAGCACTGCAGAGGAGTGGCCAGCTCAGCAGATTCTGGGAGGCGAACTCACAGGACCTGTCACCACAGGTCCTATGACGTATACCTCAATAGGCAGCAAATCCAAGCCAAGAGACAAAAGGGACAGAAGGGGCTTCAGCAGGTCGAGGTTAGGAGGGGCCCACTTGGGGCCACCTTCGTGAATCGTCTCTTCAGGACCAGCAGCAGCGACATCATGAGTCTGCCACAGCTCAGCTTCGGCTGCATCCTTGGCAGCTGGACTTGCTGCCTTGACTAAACCTGCAATTTTTCTACCTGGAAGAGCAGGCAGTGTTCCAAAGAGGTATATAAGACAAAACTGTCTCCGGGACAAAAACCAGGAGCAGCTGAAGGGAGGCCTACAGCTTATGGACTAATGAGTTAGGATCACACACTGCCGCGTCTTCTCTAATCAGTAAGACAACAACTGTGGGGGGCCCCTAGAGGAACACTTGCTGCCTTTCCTTCTAGTAGTGTCAAAGGAGGCGTTTCCCTGGCTTCAAATCATCTATCATGTGGTGACATCATGTTAAGGACTATGAAACATAAATCTGTACAATAAGGGAAAATCCGAGAGTAGCCCGGACCCTCAAGGGCTGGCCAGTCTGACTTGCTCACCTGTCCCTCCAGCACCTGCTCAAGAGCCAACTCAGGCCAGGGCCTGGGTTACATAGCCCCACTTGTCCCCATTTTATAGATGGCAAAACCAAGGTACAGAGAGGCAACTCTGAGTGTAGGAAACCCCCGTTCTGCTCAACTTGAGCTGCAATCTTTTCCAAATGTCATTCTAAGCAGCCTCCCACTGCAAGTCTCCCCAGGGTCAGTGGCTGTATAAGGAAGGGTGGGCTGCAGAGGGCTCACCATTTCTCCACAAGCACCTTGCAGGCCTTGGCTTGTGCGAACAGCTGGTTCACCCGGGTCTCCTCTGTGTCAAAGTGCTTCCTATAGAAAGACTGAACAGAGAAAGACAGGCTGGAGTGAGCACTACCTTGGCTAGCCTCATGTCACTGGGATGCAGCAGAGTGTGTCACAGAAAGAGAGGCATGGGAGGGCTGAGGAGCCCTGCCGTGGGGCACCACGTCCTGTCAGAAGGCTGTTGTTTGTCCCATGCTAGGGAGGACACAGGTGCATACAGAGGAATGAAGAGCACCCTTGAATGAATGGCTGGGCTCAGGTCATCCTCTAGCAAACAGGGACAAATTTGAGCCTGAAGAACATGGAGGTACAGACCCCAGCCAGGACAACTTAGCCAGGCATGGTCCACTGAACATACTTTATTTGGTACAAGGGCCTTACGTGGGCCAGAATCCCTGGGAAGGCTGAAGAGAACCTGCTTCTCAGGCCCATGTCTCTGCCTCGACCAGGCCACGTTTATCAGCTTTCTTCCCCTGGCCTGGAGGGCTCACAGGAGAGTTAGGCTGAATTTTCCCTGGCCACCACATGAAAGCCTGTTGTCCAGTAAGGTGACTGTTTTGTCAAGTTTTGAAGCCTGGGCCAGGATCTGCTTGGAGGCAGGTAAAACTGGCCCTCACTTTGCATGGGGGTAGAACACACTGGTGTGCTGGCAAGCCATCGAGGTTGGCATTATTTTTCAATTATAGAGAGAAAAAAAAAAGGAAGGAAAGACAATATTGTTTCTTATTTCAGAATACCAGTTGCCAAGCTTAGAACTGGCTGTCCTGGCGAGAAGCAAGAAAACAGGCAAGTGTGCCAAGTACAGTTGCGTGTGCCTGTCATTCCAGCTACTGAGGAGGCTGAGGTAGGAGGATCCTAAGTTCAAGGTCAGCCTGCACAGTTTAGCAAGATTCTGTCTCACAGTAAAGGGGTTAGCAATATACTTCCGTGGCAAAGCCTTGCCTTGCATGAGCAAAGCCCTAAGCTCAGTCTCCAGTACTACAAAACAAAAACAAAAGCAGGCACGCGATGGCCATGTGAGATCAGTGCTCTGGGACACTCAGCCTGGCTTGGACCAGGTGACAGCAGGAAGAAAGCAGAAAGGCAGATGCCGTCTGCACATCCTCTGAGCATGCATTCACCTCTCTGGCTGGCTTGCAAATCCTGCTAATAGCCCATCTGCCACTGCCCCAATCTCTGCCCTCGTGGGTCTGTCTGGACACCCTGGCCTCGATCATGCTCTCTTACAACGTCCACATCTGGACAGTCCATGACTCTCTGTGGCCCCCCGTGAGAGGACCCACTGGCTGCTCACCTGGTTCTTGTAGCCCTTGTCAACACCCAGGGTCTGGGTACAAAAGCGGTGCCTCACGCCAAAATGGCGCATCAGGTAGGCTAGGTCGATGGTCCAGATGCTCCTGGTCAGCCGCAGCTCCTGCAAGGCGCTCTCAAACTCTCCATCGTCCAGCTGGCCTAGGTACCTGCAGAGAGACAAACTGAGGTCAGCTTGCTCATGAGGAGAGCTGGACCAGGTCACCTTCTACCCACGGACCAGAGAGCCACTGTCAGGGCCTCTTCCTCAAAGGCTCTGTCCTTCATGAAACTCTACGACCTGTCCAAAGCTGCCTGAGCACAAGCTGAGGACTATTGGGCTGCCTGGGTGCTGTCATAGCCTCAGAATCGAGGACTTGGGTCTACTGCTTAGGTCTTCTGAGGGCCATGAGACCTTGGGCACAAAGGTGCTCTCTCTGGTGTCACTCATTTCACCATGATGAGGCCCTTGCATCATGTCAGTGGTTTTCAAAGGTTCAAGCAACTCTGTTGTTGATTTCTACTCTTCCTGGAATTCTAGTATGTAAAACAGGCTGATCTGAGATTCCTGACAGCAGACTGAAATCTCTTATCGGAGGTGATGGGTATCGGCCTTTCTAGCTCTGATGGTCCAGGCTCCTGAGATATTCATGTAGCCCCAGCTCAGCTGCCTCTCAGGAGCCTGAAGCCAGGGGGCAGGAGGTCAGTCTATTCCAGCCACAGAGCTTTTATGTGGGACAGGCCCATGCCGCTAGGATTTCTCTGCCCCGAGCTCCCAGATCTGAGCAGAGATCTGGGTGAGTCAGTTCACTCTTTATTCACCTTTGCAGACGGAACAGGAACTGTGGAAGCTGGTCCTCTAGCATGCCTGAACCAAAGATGGCTGCATGGACAGTGACTCCCACCCAGGTCAGAGGAGGTGGTATGGATCGGGAGGCCTGGGCCCCCCGCCCTGGGCCCACCCACTCACCGCAGCACCATCCTGGAGCAGGCTAGGCCGCAGTCCCAGTGGTAGAGCTGCTGAATGATGGGCACAGGCAGCTGTACAAAGTCCCCTGCATGGAAACAGAGGGAAGCCTCAGCCTCAGCACAGTGCCAAGTGCTGCCACCCACTGAAGACACAACCATCGCCACCTGTGTAGGCAATGCTGGGGCTCACGGGCCTTCCCACAGCCCTTCATTTGCCTTATGCCACCAGTGATTGCCCAAGGAACGCCAGCTGGAGCCAGTCAGTCCTACTCAAAGTCCCACAGTGGACTGGCTCCCGCACCACTCAGGACGAGACCTTCAGGGCTGCTTCCCTAGTACCTTCTGCTTCCTCACTGCCCTTGTCCTGCTCGGTCCCTGTCACCCAGGGCCTTTGCACACCTGTTCCCTCTGCCTGGATGCTGCTGGCTCCTGCTCTCACTTCTCTGAGGGGCGCCTGGTCCTCCAGTAGGTCTACTCAAGAACTCATGCTTTCCCTCAGAGACCTTTTTTTAGGAGGCAGCAACAGGGGCTGTTTTGCTTCCTGCTGTCAGACCAAAGCTGACCCGTGGCAGCATTCAGCAGATTAAAGTTCAGAGGATCTCAGGAGTTTGCCTAACTCCTAACTACCAACGGATGAAGGCCCCAGCTAGGAGGAAGGGCTGCCATAAAAACTATATATGCAGACTACTCCTGGGAGCTCCATTACCACTGTCCCTGGCAACATCCCAGTCTGTCCTTGGCAGGCTGTGAAGTAGGACAGAAAGGGCCTGACCTGGGAGTTCCAGTCCCAGCTCTGCCACTGACTGGCTGTGGGCTGGGCAAATGACTTCCTCTCACTGAACTGCAACCATGCCTGAAGTGGAGACCTTTGATCAGACTTGGTCATTGGACTGACAAATATTTTCCAAGGAAGGACCTGGCACATCTACTGCGGTGGTATTGAGTAAATGAGGTCCCTGTCCTGGTGGCAGCCAAAACTAGCAAATTATGAAATAATCACCATGTTTTGTTTTGGCGGAACCGGGGATTGAACTCAGGCCCTTGCGCTTGACAGGAAAGTGCTTATTCCACTGAGCCACCTCCCCAGCCCCCAATCACCATGTTTATAGCAGCACAGTTTGTAATAGCCAAATCATGGAAGCAGCCCAAGTGCCCATCAATGGATGAATGGATAAAGATGTGGTCTTTTTATATCATGGAGTACTACTCTGCCATAAAGAAGGATAAACCTGAGACATTTCTAGCTAAATGGATGCACTTTGATACCATGTTCTTAAGAGAAATAAATGGGCACATATGTTTAAATACCTCATTGTTTCTCTGCTGTGAGAAAATGAAAATGTAAGTAAGGACCAAAACACATAAAGAATATTGGGAAATGGGAAGAAAATATTCAAATGAAGAGAACAAGGGAGCGGGGAGGGAGAAAAGAAGGAAGGAACAAGCAATAAAGCTTTTGTAAATCAGGAGGGAAAGAAGGGTTGAAGGAAGGGGAGGCGAATGGAAAAAAAGGAGAAGCAAGATCTACTACGTACAAACACAAATTCCCTATAATTGTACAGCAATTAACCACTAGGAAGAATGTATGCAGTGTGTTAATTACTGAAACTGTCCTACTGATTTGATTTGCAACTGTCTCATTGCTATTTGTTTATCAATAAAATTATGGGGGAAAAATTAAATTAATTTAAAAAAGAAAAAAAAATTCCCTATAATGAATGTTATTAGGTATATCTAAACCTCACTGATATTTATTTGTTTGTTTGTTTGTTTGTTTGTTTGGTACAGGGTCTCAGTACATAGCTCAGACTTGTAGTGATCCTCCAGTCTCAGCCTCCCCAGCGCTGGGATTACAGGACTGCACTACCATTCCCTGGTTCAGGGCCCTCGCATGGCATGCGGCACCGAGCACTGAACCTGGTTCCTTACGCTTGCCAGGCAGGTGCTTAGTCTGCTGAGCTATCTCCTTAGCCCCCAAATTTTTTAAAACACAAAAAAAGAGAGAAAGAGAGAGAGAGAGAGAGAGAGACAGGCAGGCAGGCAGGCAGGCAGGCAGAGAGCAGCCTAGACTGGGAAAATGGTGGAGCCATGCCCAGAGAGGTGTTCGGGAGCACAGGACAGACAGCGAACAAACAGGGAACGCTGAGGCCCTCAGGCCAGGGCCAGCAGGACACTCCTACTCTGCTACCCCAGGGAACTGGACAAAGTTCTGAGCCTCAAACACTACAAGGGACTTCTCTATACTGGTCACCACTCCTGCCTACTGTGACACCTATTCAGCACTTGTAACCCCAGCTGGCCCATGTTTCCCCATCAGGAGGGTCTCCAGTGCCTCTCCAAGACAGTCAGACTGGCTCCACACAGAACCACCCTGGGAGCCAGGCCAGCCGCCCCACTGCTCTCCGGCTCACGCCAACCCGAAGGGTTACTCAGCAGTCTTGGCGTCGGCACTGCCTGTTCAGACCTCTCACCTTTGTCCCAAGTCTCAGACTCCTACCCTCCCCTATCTTCCCGGTCTTTGGAGCCTAGCTCAGGCTGTTCTCCAATCCCAGGCCGTGTCTATTCTTCTGCGCCCGAGTTCATGCTCAGCTCACAGGATGAAACCTTTACATGGAGTTTGTTTACATCTTGCCGGGCAGCTTGTGTATATCTAAGCTCAGGGCCCTGTGACAGCTCCTGGCTGCTCTTCCCCTCCAAGGGTGTGCAGCAGGCTTGGGGGAAGGCAGGAAGGCAAGGGTAAGGCCACTTGTTGGCCGAAGCCACTGGCTTCTCTGTGCCTCCTTCCTCCTCTGTGAAATGGACTGCTGCAGACGTGCAGGGTGCCACGAGCGCTCAGCACAGCAGCAGACACCACGCTCTTTGCCTGCTGACAGGAACCCTCCCTCCAGGTGGGACAGGGCGTGCTGAGCCTCGGCCTCTAAAGAAACCCAGGTTCTTCATTCAAGGCCTCTGCACACTTGCTTCCTACAACTGCCATGATTTCAGTCCTGCCTGTCCTCTCCCGAACCCTACCCCTCTTCGGTCCCCGCACAGCAGCCAAGGAATCTCATCCAGTGTCACACTGCTCATACAATAAAGGTCTCACTTCTTACCTGAAGGCCTGCAGGCCCTGCCCAACCTGAGCCCACCAGACTCATCTCAGCCTTCAACTGGGTTCCAGTTACTCCGCGAACCCAGAAGCCCTCGTTTTACCCCAGGGCCTTTGCATGTATGGCATCTTCTGTCTGCAACTTCTCTTCCAGTTGCTGCTCTTGCCATTCAAGTCCTAGCTTAACATTTCTTCTGTGAATATTTTGTTCTGTGTTTTAAGGAGTAAAGGGTCCTCTTCAATGCTTAGCAAAAGGAATAATAAAAGAGGGTATCTCCTCTGTAGACTAGGCCAGGTACTCTGGTCTGAACACACTTCCCCAAAGTCATCCCCACTGTAGTGATACTAAGAAGTGGAGTTTGGCGGGTAAGTGATTCCATGTGGAGGCTCTGTCCTCCTGAGTGATAAATGACCGGATTATAAAAGGGTCAGAAGGAACTAGTTTAGGCCTCCCCCGCCATGCTGATGGGCTAAGTGAGGACACAGAGTTCTTCCCCTTTCCAGCACTTCCCACCATGTAAGGACACCTCAGCAGAGCTATTCCTGAAGAATGGGCCTTTACCAGGTACTACTCCTGTCAGCACCTTGATCTTGGATTTTTAAGAACTGTGAAAAATTTAATTTCTCTCATTGACAAATTACCTCAACCTCAGGGATTTTGTTACAGTTATGCAAATGGACTAAGCAAGGAACACATTCACTTTGTTTGCCGTTATTTCTGGGGTCTGGTGTCTTGACGCTCGGCAGAAATTCAATCACTTACTACTTGTTAGCAGTCACTGTGAGTCAGGCTCTGCGTACACAAATGTGACCAAGGACTAACCCCGATCTCTAGGAAGTAATATTCTAAAGTAGTTCCCCACGACACGCTGGGTGGAGGAGCAGCTCTCTGTGGGGTGTGGCACTCTCAGGGTGGTGTCTTCTCTTTCCAGAACCCCTTACTCTGGCTATAAATAGCCTTGTTTTTCTCTCCTGAGGCTGATTGCTCTCCAGCCTCTGCTCTTGCATAATCTAAACCAGAATGCTGTCTCCCTTCTCTGACCACTCAAATGTTCCAGTCTCTCTCTAAGAACCTCTCAAAGTACAGCCCTTGAGGTGACTTCTGCTTTCCACACCACAGACTGAGAACTCTGGCTGCAGGTGGGAACAGGGCTGCATCTGTCTCCTTCAGTCCTTGGCAGACATTCAGTGTTGTTTCATTTTAAGACAGAGTCTCTGGTCTATGTCGCTCGACTGGCCTTGAACTCAGGGCGATCCTCCTGCCTCAGCCTTCCAAGTACAGGGAATACAAGTCTGTGTCACCATGCCTGGCTTACAGCAGACATTCAGAAGTGTTTGGTAAATACTTTTCCAAAAAGGCCTCATCCCTTGTGATGCCTATTACTGCTTACCACTGCAGTGCCTGTTGTCCCAGGCTTCCCGCCTACAGCCTTTTGTTGGAGGATCTTTCCTGTCTCTGTGGCCTGGCCTCTGGCACTACCTGGGCCATCTCCACTGGGCTGTGACCCTCTTCATGCCTTCCCTGTGCATTTCTCCCAAAGGTGTACAGCACAACTGCTCTGCAGAGCCCCAAGAGAACCAGCTGCCTGCCTCTCCTCTGCTTGCCCTGAGCCCTACAGTTCCTTGATCCTAGGGCTCCACAGGGTAAACGTCTCCATATGGCCTCCTTGTCTTGGCTTGGGCAGGTCAGCCCGTGTGGAGATGTTCCTGTGGGAGGTGATAACCAGAGGCGAGATCTTGGCACTTGTTGTGATAACAGCTCTACCCTTCCAAGCCCAAAGCTGTTAGATGTTGATCCCTGGACCCAAGAGACTACCCAACTAGAGAGCTAGTGTTTGCCTGGTAGGCCCTGGCCTGGCTACAGTTGGTGGCTGTCCACCCACTGTCCCTGGGCACTTAACCCTCTCAGCCTTGGTCTGCTGTTCTGCCAAACTGCACAAAACACCAATAACCCAGACAAGGATTGCTATGCAATTTAATGAGACTGCCTCACAAAAAAGGTCCCTACAAATATCAGCCATTACTCCACCAAGGCAGAGGAAAGGTGCCTGGTTACACACCACAATGTTAGCTAACTGGAGGAGAAGGGACACAAACCCCAGTACTCAGTACAGCACCGGTACCTACCTATTCTATGCTGCAATCACAAAAGAGACCACAGCCTGGGTGTGATGCCACCTTAGGTCCTGGGTCCCATAAGCTCTCCACCTCCACCGTGAGTTAGCACCTCGCCTGACAGTTTACTAACATCAGCCCTGTGCCTTAGCACAACAGAATTCTTAACTTCCTCCTTCCCCACTTCTTGACTGAAAGTCAGTCTTGGTCTCAGCCCTAAGGATGACCCAACGTGACTTCCTCCCTTTTCCCCACTCCTAGGGGGCAGGGAGCAAGGGGCTCTGTCTTTCTCGGGGCAGAAGTAAGGAGAGTGAAGAACTTGCAGTCAGTCTCTATCCTGAGTTTGGGAGGCCATGGGAAAGGGCCCTCCCCTGACTGGGTGCTCTCGGGCAGTTCCTTCCCTTTCGTGGCCTCAGTTCCTCCACGAGGATCTCCCAAAGTGGCCCCAGGACTAATAATTTCTGGGGAAGACCCTGCCACCCAGACCCTCCCTCGTGAGTCCCAGCCCCAGGAATACTAGGAAAGCCCAAATGAAGACGGGCTGGGGGAGGGAGCTAAGGCAGGAATGTCCACTCGGGCAGGTTTCTCAACCTGGGCTGCAGCGGCAGTCAGTCCAAGGTCGTGCAGCCGGACCCTGCACTACGCTAGGGCACAGTTCCACTCGGTCCCCGGGATTGAGGGCTGGGCCCTCAGAGAGGCACTGACCGGGATCCAGCTGCGCCTTCGCTGCTTCCGCCTCCGTCCTCATGACCCGGGCAGCGCGGGGCGCCCATGGCCCCGGTCCGACCCCGGCTGCGCCTTTGACTTCTGCTGGTGCGGCAGCACAGGCAGCGCGGGCCGGGCTCCTCCGCCGGAGTCGGCTGACCGGCCACCCCAAACCCCGCCCCGCCCCTTCCAGGTCTGGGCGCCGAGGCCCCGCCCCCTCGCTAAGCCCCGCCCCTCCCCTGCTCAGACTTCAGTTTCCAGAGGCCCCAGCCTCCGGATTCAAGCCCGCCCCGGCCATTTGCAGTCGCGGCTTTTGGTGGCCCCGTCCTCCGCCGACGCGCAGGCCCTGCCACGACGTGATCCCCAGAACCCCGCCTCGTCCTCTGAGTCCCGCCCCGGAACCTCGGCGTAGAGCGAACATTGGGTCCTCAGAGACTCAGCGCCTTTGCAAACTCCGCCTCCGCGCGGCCCGGCCCTTTGCAGCTTCAGGTGTTAGCTCTGGTCCCGCCCAAGGCGTCATGGAGGCGCCAAGCAACGGCTTTCCCACTCCTGTTAGGGACTGCCCCGGGCCGCGTCCCCCTCCACACCTGTTTCTCTACCTATAGGATGCAATATCTCGCCTCGCTCGGGGTACCCCTTACCTGGCGGGCATGGGGTTCAAAGGTTAATTGTGAGGGGAGGTTCCACCCCTTCTCCGCACTTCTTGCTGTTTCTGATAAGAAGGCCAGGACCCAGGTGTCCTGCCATCAGTAGCCGGTGGGTTCCTCGGCGGTGTGAGCGCTCCCCACCCCCACCCCCGAGCTCCTCAACTGGCTCGAGAGCCCTGTCATCCGCCTCCTCTCTTCCTGTTCCGGAACTATATTATCAGAGTGCTTGTTTCCCACCCGGCGGAATGAGGAGGAGGAAGAGATTAGACTGCGTTCACCGCTGGGGAAAGGAAAGGGATGGGCGCTGCGCGTGGCATTTTGGGAACGCGTGGTATTCTGGGAGCGCGCGGTCCGCCATTCGTCTTCGCACGCCTTCCCCATCATATCTCTTCTGTTACCTACCAGCGCCGAAGAGGAGGAGAAGGAGGACTAGAAGACCACAACTGGTGAGAAAGGACTTAAAGGGGGTACAAGGGGAGGCCCAGGCGCCCGAGAGTCTTGAGAAAGCTTCGCTGCAGAGGAGTAGGGGAATTGGAGGGAAGAGAGCGGGAAGCCTGGGCCACCCAAACATTAGCTTCGCCTCACTAGCGCTTTTAACATTTATTAGCTTTTCCCCTAAAATAAATGGCTTGCGCTGTTTGTACCTCTCCAGGTCAGTGGTTTTCGAAACATTCAGGCAGTAATCTTGAAATTATTTTCTATAATGACTCGCAGAAGGCTTTTGTCATCCTTTATGGCATTCTTTGCATTTCTGCTCCCAGTCCCCTTTCTGGCAGGGGTCTCATGCTTTCCACGCTACGGGAGTTTCAATAAGTTTCTCTGTGTTTAAGCTGTACGTTCTATTGATTTTGTACATGCTTCCACGTTCTCATCGGGTCTCTTTGGGGTTTGTTTTGTTTTGTTTTGTTTTGTTTTTTGGTGGAACCAGGGATTGAACTCAGGCCTTTGTGCTTGCCAGGCAAGCACTTATTCTACTGAGCCATCTCCCTGGCCCCTGTTTTCTGTCTTTTTGAGACAGAATATCGCCACGCAGTTCAACCTGGCCCTGAATCCACTTTGTCACCCAGGCTGGCCTCGAACTCACAAAGATCCTCCTACCTCCACCTCCCCAGTGTTGGAATTACAGTTGTGTACCACCACGCCCTGCTTGAAATTTTCCTTTTAGCCTTGGTAGGAAAGTGGGATGGTCAGAGGGCTTCATTAAAAGCAACCCCTACCTAGATTTGTCTGGGTAATTTAGTCTGTTTCCTTTAGGACCGTATTCACGAGCCACATGAGGTTGTTAATCTTGGAATATGGCTAGTGTGACTGAGAACTTTTTTAAAATTTTGTTTAATTTAAATAGTTACCTATAGACAGTGACCACAGCTCAAGTGTGTATCATGATTCTTAAACTGGAGTCACCCACACTGTGGGTTGTCAGGTATATTCTGCAAATGTGTTCCATCCGCCTCCTGTGCAACATACATACCATGTTGTTAATGGTTTTGGTAAAGAGGCATACAGTGGGGAGGGAAAAGGGGGACATTCTTTTCTTTCCTGTTAACTTTCCCCTCTGTTCAGCCTACTGTCCTGCCCACATCAAATTTTGTATGTGCTTACCATATTGAGTTTCCCAAGTCAGAAACTGATCTCTTTCTATAAAAAATAAAGCTTTGGCATTTTAAGTTTTTTGTTTTTGAGTCAGGGTCTTGCTGTGTAGTTCAGGCTGGCCTGGAACTCATTATGTAGCCCAGGCTGCCCTCAAACTTGCAGCAATCCTCCTGCCTGAGCCTCCTGGTACTGGGATCACAGGTGTGTGCCACCACACAGTATGTGTTAAGTTTTTATTTGGCTCATCTTTATACATTTTTCTGGATTGCCAAGGTTTTTCAGGCCTCTCAAGAGATAAACTGATTTTTGTTTCTCTCACTGTAGAACTCTCTCCCTGTCAAGATGTCTATTGGTGTGCCGATTAAAGTCCTGCATGAGGCTGAGGGCCACATTGTGACGTGTGAGACAAACACTGGTGAAGTATATCGGGGGAAGCTCATTGAAGCGGAGGACAACATGAATTGCCAGGTACTCACTCAGCTTTGCATCTAAGGATGTGGGGGTTTTGCAGGACAGAAAGGTGCTGATGGGAGAGCTGTATGAAATTGTTCTCATTTAACAGTTACCTAGCAAATAGCTCATGTGTGCCAGGTACTCTTAACAGATTCTGGGACTTTGCACAAATATGGAGACAATCTTAAGGCAGAAGAGCCATTTACATTAAGTCCCCCACATACAAACATTCAAGATGCAAACTTTCCCAGGTGTACTGTATAAGATTCACGTTGTTGGACTTAGGAAGGAATCTGACTATGAACATTCTCCTGGAATGACTCATTCATAAGTTGGGGACTTACTGTATTGGATTTAGTCTTTAGTTTTTCTCCATCCTGTTACCATTTTAGGGGTCTATTTGAGAGAAGTGATTGTATTTAGAGCCATTATGTGCTCATATATGCTTTGCAATTAGCAGAATCATCAATTGACATACTATATTTGCCTTTTTTCTTGAAAGAGAATCACATTTTGATTATTGTGTGAGGTGAGTTAGGTTTATCAATAATCTTGAAATCCATGAAGGAAGAATGGATGGGCTAGGGCTGTAGCTGTACGGAGACAATGTTAAGGTAGAAAAGCCATTTACATTAAGTCCCTCACATACAGACATTCAAGCAAACTTTCCCAGCTGTACTCTATATGATTCACATTGTTGGATTTAGTGGTAGAGCGCTTGCTTAGCATACATGAAAACCTGAATTCATTCCCCAATGCTGCAAACATAAATCAAGTAAGGCAATGAGGTGAAAGGACTCATCTACAGAGTGTTACTCTTGCTGCTGGTGGAGCAGTTTTCTGAGATGAAAATAGCACTACTTTGTCTTTTGTATACTGAAGTGAATTTTTATGGCATTACTTTGCAAAGTGTATGAGCATGTACTCTTTTTAAACAGTTGGTTAAGAAGATGGTCTTTGGAAACAGAAATGTGTTTGAATCCTAATTATATGGCCTTAGGTATATTAAGCACCTTAGTCTCTTCAGCAAAATGAGAGTGGTGTTATTTTGATATTCTGAGATGCAGATGCCAATTCAGAACTAGATATGCAACAGATTTATTAGAAAAATGGCCCATCAGGGGCTGGGGAGATAGCACAGTAGAATAAGCACTTGCCTGGCATGTGCAAGGTCCTGGGTTCAATCCCCGGTTCTGCCAAAAAAAAAAAAAAGGATTTATTTTGCCATTCGTCTTCGCACGCCTTCCCCATCATATCTCTTCTGTTACCTACCAGCGCCGAAGAGGAGGAGAAGGAGGACTAGAAGACCACAACTG